AAATTCATAAATTTTAATAAATAAAAAAGAAATTGCCGAAGTACAAATAAATTTGACAAGTCCTTTCAAAGTTAGAAATATTGCTAACAACTTTCAACAGGATAAAACCAAATGGCCAAGGTTATAGTGTAACATCAATACATAATACATTAGTTCAGTTATTGTTTTTTTTAAAATCATATAAAATAAAATCACATTATAAGATTTGCCATTAAACAGTATTTACTTTGATATAGGAAAATTGAAGGGGAAATAGCACTTAAACAAACATGTAATTCTTAACTATTTCTAAGTTTTTGCTGTTTGTTGTGTCTCGTTGAGTTGGAACTAACTTAGAGCTGACCCTGCAGCAGGTTTTTCCAGGCAGTAAATAGTCCAGGGGGAGACTGCTCATCGTTCTTCTCTGGAGCAGTTGACAGATTTGATCTGCCCGCCTCTGGTTTGGCAGTGCAGCTCCTTACCACTAAGCCACTGTTGTTGGGTACTGTTGAGTTGGAATCAGCCCATGGATGACTCGCCAGCAGGTTTTCAGAAGCAGTAAATTACACAGACTATTTATAATCTGTGAAGCAACTAGGGAATTAAAACTGAGTGCCTTCAGGTTTGCAGTGCAGCTTCTTACCCCTTGGCCACCAGATCCCTCTTTTTCTAACCAGGAGAATTTAATCACATTCTAATGGTGACACAGTACATACTATGTTGGGCTGTTCCAGGGGAGAAACAAGGGCAGTCTCCTCCTGGGAAAATGTACAGCCCCTTACAATAGAGGTTACCAAGAGTACTAGTCAACTCCAGAGCAGTAGATTTGGGCTTTATTTTCTTTTAGCTTTATCATTTACACTATTCAAATTCAAAATCCTCCCAATGAAATGGCCTAATCTCGCCTTTTGTTGTTAGCATCATTTGCTTCCACCGTGGCACCATGTGATAATCCATGAAAAAACTTAAGCAAAAGATCTACACTGGGAAAAATGTAGTTTTTTTCAGCCAAAATCTTACCCCTCAAGATGCACAATTCAGTTCTTATAAAGGAAGAGGTGGGCAGGAAGAAAAACATAGACTCAGGCTGAGAGCTATAAACTACTAATCTGCAGCCATTGATGGCTACAGACCAACTCCACTCACCAGGAGATATTCTGGCAATATTATGCATACCATTTCTCATCAAGTTTTAGATCCCAACAGAGCTAGCCCAATTATAATGCCCTTTCTTGGTTCCAACGTTGCCCTGACCGCTGATCCATGTGCTTATGCAGGAAGAGAAAAAGGCCGTACACAGAAACATACACATGTCACATACATGCATTTCCTTAGATTGATTGTCATTTTATTTTGGAACTTGAATACTGAGGTTTTCTTAGCCTTCTGGGTCTGATTTAAGGCTGAAGGAGACAGAAGCTCATTGTTGATTCACACATAACAACAGTTGTTGGGCATCATTAAGTTGCCTATGACTTAATGGCTCATAGGGACCCTATGAGCAACAGATCTGAATCTTGCCCTATCCCGTGACATCCTTGCTATCTCTGATGTGTTCGAGCTCATTGCTACAGATATGATAGGCAAAAAATCAAAATGGTATTTTATAAACTTGCATAATCTGAAAGCAATGTTTATAAACAAGAGTAAAATTCACAAATTAAGAAAAGTACTTACAATTCCCGAATCATGCCGTGGCTTTATCTTATAGAGCGATTTCCCCTTTTTCTGTCTGCATACCTCCTCAGCTTCTTTTACTCTGAAGGAAGAGAAAATACAGGTGTTTGAAACACAAACTTCCAGACACATCACTGTGATCTGGTTTGCAGCACATGAGTGGGGCTCACTGTATAGAATAATGGAAGAAGAAAATAACTAAATCCACAGGAATATTATCTGACAATTGATTTAATGTCATAGAATGTTAGAGCTGGCTGTTGTTTTTTTTTAAATTTTTATTTTATGTTGATTTGCTTACAAAGTTTGTATACCCTGTGTTTCACACTATCCTTCATTCACATTGTGTTTCATACTATCATTTGGATTCATTATATTTAAAAAATGTAACCAACATTGAACTATGCCCACCATTGCCATGTCTTTCCAGATCCCCATTGGATCCTTCCCATTTCCTTTGCCCACTCTTCCCTCCACTCACCAAATTGTGTGACCCCCGCCCCCGCTCATCCTCACGCCTTTGTTTCTCACCTCCCACCTTGGATCCTCATACACGTTTTACTAGTTATCTTTCTATTTCTATAATAATGGTCTAATATAGCATTTGTCCTTACAGGATTGCATTAGGTCACTCAGCATAATGCTCTCCAGTCCTTACCAAGTTATGTAGTAATTTTCAAAATCACTGCTCTTGAGTGCTGTGTAGTATTCCATTGTGTGAATGTACCACACTTTTACAATCCATTAGATTGTGGTTGGACATTACCATTGTTTCCATGTTCTTATGATGGTGAATAACACTGCTAGGAACACTGATGTACAAATCTCTGTGTTTCAGTCCTAATTTTCTTGTGGTATATTCCAAGCAATGAAATAGCTGGGTCATATGGAATGTCTATGTTCAGCTTTTTGAGGAAACATCAAACTCCCTTCCAGAGTGGTTGTACCATTTTACAATTCCACAATGTACAAGAGTTCCTATCTTGCCACATCTTCTCCAACATTTATTACTTGCTGTCCTGTTAAACTTTGCCTCTGCTACTGGAGTGAGATGGTATCTCATTGTGATTTTGATTTGCATCTCTCTCACTGACAGTGATTTTGAGCATTTCTTCGTATGTCTGTTGGCCATATGAATGTTTTCCTCTGTGAAAGGTCTTTCTGTGTATTTTGGAGCTGGCTGTTTTCATCCTAACAATGACACGCACTACTACCAAACAGATTCCAACTCATAGTGACCTACTAGGACAGAGCAGAACTGTATGTGAACCTAATTCACCTGTGATCTGTATAAGAGACTTTGGGGCAGCTGGTGGGCTTGAACCATGACCATTTGGTTAGTAGCTGAATGACTACTACACCGCTAGGGCTCTTGGTAAATTGAATATTATCTTCCCTAGAATATGTGTTTAAAATAGAACTTCAGGACTCGATGGTTTGAGAAGTGGCTGCTGCGGCGTGGAGAACCATGGGTCAGGCGGCCAAGGTTTTACAACTCTTTAAAACATTGCACAGGACCAGACAACAAGTTTTTAAAAATGATGGGAGAGCACTAGAAGCAGCCAGACTAAAGATAAATGAAGAATTCAAAAATAATAAAAGTGAGACATCTCCCAAGAAAATAGAAGAGCTAATGAAAATGGGATCTGATGTTGAAATGTTACTCAGGACCTCTGTTATACAAGGAATTCACACAGACCACAATACACTGAAATTGATTCCTAGGAAAAACCTTCTTTTAAATAATGTGCCATATTGTGATACACCAACTCAAAAGCAGTGACTTTTCCAGGATAAAATGGAACATTTGTGCTTTTTAAGCTTAAAATATACAACTTGAGAAAAGTCCTAGAAATGTAGATACCTTTTTCTCTAAACTGGTATATGGAAAACAAGTGGATTAAAATATTCTTCATAAAAAACTTAGTTTAAAATTACATTACTGACAACAGCCAAATATAGTTAAATATTTCCAATGAACATTAGATAAGAAGACATTTCATTTTTATTTAAAATCAAACTAAAAAGTAAAAAAAATGTTCAAGTTTATCAGATTCACACCTCAATAAGTACTTTGGTTTTACTGTTACCATTTGAGAATGCAGCAATTTGACAAGATAGTCTGTTTCCCTCTTGTGTATAAAGGAAATTGCTAGACTAACTTGATGTTTGTTGTTAAGTGCCATCAAGTCGCAGGCGACTCATAGCAACCCTATGAAGGAGAGTTCTCAAAGCTTGGGTGTCCTCTCTCCAGGTTCATAGGGTTTCTGAAAGCAAGATATTTAGTCTCAGGAAAATTAAATTGGTCAAGAACATCAAAGTTTAGTAGGGCAACAAGCAATAAATATTGGAGAGGTGGGAACTCTCATACACTGTTGGTGGGATTGTAAAATGGTGCAACCACTCTGGAAGACAGTCTGGCGTTTCTTAAAAAAGCTGAATAAAAAACCCAAACAAACAAACAAAAAAACAAAACAAACAAAAAGCTGAATATAGAAACTCTATACGATCCAGCTATTCTACTACTGGGAATATATACACCCCAAGGAAATTAGAACTAAGACACAAACGGAGATTTGTACACCAATGTTCATAGCAGCATATTTACCATCGCAAGAACATAGAAACAGCTTAAATGTCCAACCACAATCAAGTGGATTGAGAAATTGTGGTACATTCACAAAATGAATACTATGCAGCACGCAGGAGCAATGATTTGAAAAATACTAAGTAACTTGGGAAGGACTGGAAAGCATTATGCTGAATGAATAAACACAGTCTCATAATGACAAATACGGCATAAGACTATTATTATAAAAATAGAAGAATAACTAGTAAAACATGTAAGAAAACTCGGGTTGGGGAATAGAGGGGTGAGGATATGTAGGGGTGAAACCACAGGGCTGCACAGTGTGGTGGGTAGAGGGAGAGGGGGAAGCAAATGGGAAGGATCTGGGCAAAAAGACATGGTAATGAGGTCCAATGGTGATAAATTTTATACAAAATAATGCATAAGAATGATTGTAAGAAACACAAAGTGAATGAAGAATAGTGTGAAACACAATGTATATAAACTTTGTAAGCAAATCAATTAAAAAGAATGTAAAAAATTTAAAAAAAGGGTTACTATGAGGTTAAAAACAAACCAGCATGAAAACTCACTGCTGTCAATTCTGAATCGACTTCTAGCTGACACTCTGCTAGGCTGGGAGAAGAATGCCCATTTTGTTCTGAAGGAGTGGTGGTGGATTTGAACGACTGGAGAGGCACAGCCACCAGAGAAGAAGACAGCAGCATAACTCTCTGACTACATGACCGGAGCTCTAACTACAAAGAAGGCTCACTGACATGGAAATATATTAGTCTTTCTATAAAGTGACTTTTATTTTAAAAATAATCCAGAACTGTAATTGTTTCAACTAAACAAACATTAAAAAATATGGAAATTTGGATACTACTAATAAAAAGAGGTATTATAAAAAAGAAAACCTACCAGGTTGATTTATTTTTCTGCTATGGTGGTTTTCTTTGGAAATTAAAAATTAATTTTTCTGGGGACATGAAAAAGCTGTGGTTTGAAATTTTAAAGAAAGACCTTTTTTTTAACGTTAACACCTAATTTTCTGAAGGAATTTAATATAAATGCATTTCTTGAACCCAGTGGCAAAAGGTCTAAGGACATAAAGTACAATTCCGTCATAACAATTAAATGAAACTACCTTGAACAGCATCTACAGGACTGATGATATAGTTTGAAATTAAAGCATGACAAATGAAAAAGAATTCCTTCCTACTCGAGTGGTTTTAAAAATAGAGAGTTCTTATGGCTTCGTGGTAAAAAGCTGTTTTGCAATCCCAAAGGCATGCAGTTTGAATCCACCAGCCACTCCTTTAGAGAAAGATAGGCAGTCTCCTCCCATGCTATTAACATCTCTGAAAATCTACTGCAGGGGGTGAGGGAAATTGGAAAATCTGGTTTGAAAAACAATGTATTTTAATTTTGTAAGCAAATTAGTATAAAAAATTTTTTTAAAAAATCTACTGCAGGGTCAGTTATGGGTTGGTTCCAATTAGATGGCACACAACAAACACAGAATAACAATTTAAAAAGAACTTCATGTTGCTAAGGTGCTCTGGTGGCCTAGTGGGTAAGAAGTTGCACTGTTAACCCAAAAGTATACAGTTTGAATCCACTTGATGCTCTGTGGGAGAAAGGGGAGCAGTCAGCTCCTGGATGATTTCCAATCTCTAAAAATCTGTTGGTGAAGAGATTGAGATTGCTGACAGCTTTAGCTTGCTTTGCTCCACAATCAACACTCTTGGTACCAGCAGCCAGGAAATCAAGAGACAAATTGCACTGGGAAAAGTTGGCTGTCAGGGACCTCTCCAGAGTACTGAAGAGCAAGAGCATCAGTCTGGAGACTAAGGTGCACCTGATCAAGGCCATAGTCTTTGCAATTGCTTGTTATGTGTCAGAGAGTTGGACAGTGACTAGGAATGATAGAAAGAGAATTGATGCCTTTGAGCTGTGGTGCTGGAGAAGAGTATTGAATATACCATGGACTGCTAGGAGATCAAACAGGTTCATCTTGGAGAAGGTGAAGCCAGGCTGCTCCTTGGAGTCAAGGATTGTGAAGCTTTGTCTGACATAATTTGGGCATGTTGCAAGGAGGAACTGGCTGTTGGAGGGGGACATCATGCTTAAAAGGGTGGAGGGATGGAGAAAGAGAGACCATCAATGAGATGGACTGATACAGTGACTGGGGTGATGAGGGTAGGTGTGTTGAATACAGTAAAGTTGGCACAGGATGGAGCAGGTTTCAGGGCTGTTGTACATAGGGGCCACTATGAGTCACAAGCAACTCTACGGCACATAACAGCAGCAACAGCAACAACCTGCTGGGAGGTCAGCTGTGAGTTCTGATTTGGTGGCATAAGATAATGAGAAGCTCCAGTAGCGCAGCTGTTAAGTGTTCTGCTGCCAATCAAAAGGACGACAGCTGGAGCTCAGCAGGTGCACGAAGGCTGTCTGACCGCAGGAAGCAGCCAGTGCGGATCCCTGTGTGTCGGCAAGTTTGCTCTGCCCCAGAGGGTCACCATGAGCCGGAACGGACTAAACAGCAACAGGCTTAGTTTGCTTTTTGGCTTTCATTGTTGCTACATTTATGAAACCTGACTCAAGCCATAAACTATCTTTAATCCCTACTCTAAACACTCTGAAGACAAAAGCATGTTCTTTGTAACAGGCTAATGATTGCATTTTCCTGTGTGAAACAGCTACCAGTAAATTTGAGGCGATGCATTTAGACAGAGAATTAAAGAAACTTTATTTCATGTTTCAGCCCAAATCCAGTAGATCTTCTCTTCAATTTTCTTTGACATCTTTAAAATCCTTTATGACATAACTGAACATCAAAAACAAGGGTTTAGATCACCAAAGTGTCATCATTTTCCCACTATCATCTTTATTTTGTTTTAAGAACATATTTTTTAAAAATTCTAGAAATGTAAGTCTAGTTCAAATATGTTTAATTTTACACAAAAAAACAGGTCCAGTCATACCAAAGGGAAGACATGATGAAAGCTAGTTGGATGTGCATCAATTAGACCTCATGATATCTTTTATCTACTTATTTGCAAATCAGTTATGGAGCAGTAACTCTAGGTCAGGCACTGCACTGGGCTTGTTTTATAAAGGCTGTCCCATAGGAGTAATACATGTGTAAGCACAGAAATGATAGAGCGACATTAAGGACAATTACTTAGGATGATACTAGTTACTACAATGGCAGAAATAGTTCCTTGGCTGGGGTGGGGGTAGTTAAACTATGGCAAAGTTTTTGGAGCAGATTGAAAGTTGGTTCATGAATTTTTCACATTTTGGAAGGAGAGGGAATGAGATTGAGCGTGAAATAAGAAGGGCATCACACACAAAATTATACCAGGAAAAGGATGAATGAGAGTCAAGAGCCGCCAATCATACTTTGTTTTAGAATAACCAAGACAGTTGTCATCAAGACCATTAGGATTGATGGTGACCCCGCTGCAGCAGAGTTCCTGGGGTTTTCAAAGCTACAACTTTCAGAAGCACATTACTGGCCCATTCTTCTGCCATGTGTCTGGATGGGGTGTCTGAGTTCCCAATTGTCCCATTAACAGCTGAATGCCCAACTGTTTTCACCACTCAACGACTCCCAGAGTGTGTTAAAGACAACTATGAACAACTGCTTCATTCAATCCTAAATACCTCTGGAGACATATAAGTGAATATCATGAGAAAGTGAAACACAGCTCTTCAAATTTAGGAGCTTATGAATTTGACAAAAATGTGATGAACTTGGCAAAAATGTAGTGTTCCAGAATGTTGCCCCATCCTGTGCCAGCATCGTGGCTGACATTATGCTTGTGTCCGTGGGCAGAGCCACTGTACCGATGGAATGCCTTTCAACACCATACTGGCAACATTTTGTTGCGATATCTATGGTTGCTATTGGCTAATTTTTGAAAGCACCTTGCTAGACCTGTTGTGCTAATTTGTCTTACCCTGTCAGCTTCACAAAACAGCATCTAGTCTCATGTACAGGTGCCTCTTGAATTCTCAGCACTCTTCTCTGTTCAGCTTAGTCTCTCTGGGATGCATTCATAAATCAAGGACACAGGCAGCCTATGCAGAACTCTTTGAGAAACAATACACAAGGACCCACACAATCTGTCAAGGTATCAATCACCCCTGCAGTCCCAATTAGCTCATTTTAAAAACTAACTGCCAATCAGCAATGTAGA